TGGCCTGACCTCTCTGGCCTGGCCTCTCTGGCCTGGCCTCTCTGGTCTGGCCCTCTCTGGTCTGGCCTCTCTGGCCTGACCTCTCTGGCCTGGCCCTCTCTGGTCTAACTTCTCTGGCCTGGCCTCTCTGGCCTGGCCCTCTCTGGCCTGGACTCTCTGGCCTGACCTCTCTGGCCTGGCCTCTCTGGCCTGGCCCTCGCTGGCCTGGCCTCTCTGGCCTGGCCCTCTCTGGCCTGGCCTCTCTGGCCTGGCCCTCTCTGGTCTGGCCTCTCTGGCCTGGCCTCTCTGGCCACCTCCCTGAACCAAGAAAGCCACTTCTTGGAGCAAGCCCTGGAGAAGGAGCGGCAACCACCCTTGCTGGAGGGAAGCAGGGAGTGGGCCTTCCCCCTCCCCGCCCAGCTGAAGACCCTCAACTTGGCTCCACCCGCTCCGTCTTCTGGTTCAGTCACAAGTGAGCGGTGACCGGCCAGGCCTGGCAGGCCACCGTTCTCAGGAAGTATTGTTAGGGGAGTACTCAGGCCCTGCTGAGAGTGGGGGACCCTTCTGGGAGCCCTCAGGCCTGGATGGCAGAGGGGTAGTTTGCTGGGCTCACTGGCTATGGGAGTGCTTAAGGATTAACAGGGATGGTCTTTAATATGCAAATGTGCCCAGGGATTTGAACTGGGGTGAGGAGGGGCTGAGGAGGGGGGTGAGCGGGTGGGAGCCCTCCCCCCCTTTGCTTCTCTTCAGCTCGAAGTCTGCTAGTGCCAAGGTCAAAGGCTGCGAATGTCCACTCCTGTGCAGTAGGCCAGTTGTCTGCGGCCAGCAGCGGCCCCACCCTCCTCTGCGGGGTTGAGGGGGGAGAGGAAGAAAAGGGGTCTCAGAGGGTGAGGGGAGGTGGGGGGTGGAGCCATGCCCCGTGGGCTCCCTGGCTTCAGAAAACTAGCCAGGGCCCCCCAGCCTGCAGGGGAGCTGGCACGGGGGAGGGGCACTGCCAGCCGGCGGGCTTGCCTATCTGGGAAGGCAGTGCGGGGCCTCAGGGGCCTTCAGGCCAGGACAAGGCCTTGCAGAGTCCCGGGAAGGGGTGGGGGGACCAGCTTTATGATGGGGGGTAGAGGGTGGGTGAGGGGAACACACTGAGCCCCCAGTTCTTCCAAGTGGTCTCTGAATACGTCCAGAAATTGCCCCTGGGATCCAGATCCAAATGTGGGAGCTGGTAATGGTCCCCAAGGGCTTCCTCCTGGGGCTTATCCCTTGGGACCTCAAGGCCCAGGCAGAGGGGGGCGCAATCCCCTCCCCGCCACTGCCCTTTGCGGGGCTCCCGGAGGCTGGGCAGCGTCTCCTCACTCCTGGGAGCCAGCAGAGCCCCGGAAGCTCCCGGATCAGACCCGCGACGGGGAGGCCGGCTCGGGCCCGTCAAGCCAGAGCTGCCCCGGCCTGGCGGTGGCCGGCTCAGGTTCTGGGCGTCCACCGCTGAGTGGGGAGGCAGGGCAGGCTCGCCCCAGCTGGCCTGGCCTCTGGAGACGGAGCCTCAGACCGCGGCTCAGCCACGCCGGGAATGCCTGCCTTCACCGGGGAACACGCGGGTTTACTGGAATTACCAAGCGGAGGCGGCTCCGTGGGGGGCCTCATTTAAATGCGGGGGGGGGCACAGCTGCACAGCTGACCCCCGACCCCGGGCTGCGGCCTGCCCTGAGGACGGCCCACGGGAGAAGGGACCCGCACCGCAGACCACCGCCGGGTGCCTGCCGGACCCCACAGATGAGCTCGCTTGGAGGGTGCGGCTGCCCGTGCCCGTCCGTCACCCAGGGCAGGAGCGGCAGCCTGGGCTCTGCTCGCGGGCGCGGTCTCGGGGCTTCTGCAGGGGCGCGGCGCCGCAGTCCCGCTTCACGGGGAGCCCGGGCCTGGGCCTTATGCCAAGACCCAGGTGCTGGAGCGGGTGGGAGCCTGCCTGGCCCCTGCCCCTGCCCGCCCCTGCCCCCCACGCGGGCGGCCAGCACCTGGCCGCTCGCTGCGTGAGAGTGCCCAGGGCACCCGAGAAGCCCTGGGCACTCTCAGCTGGTGGGGGCCGTGCGGACCCTGCCGCCTCCCCCGGCGGGCGCTGCCGGGACGGGGAACCCCGAGGGCTGCCTGCCCAGGGTAGCGACGTGTGTCAGCGCTGCTCCCCTTGAGGCCCCTCGGAAGCAGAGACCTCAGCAGAGCCCGGGAAGGGGGCGACTCGGCCGGAGCTGGCTGGGCGAACCCGCTCGCCTGAAGTCAGACCCGACGAGCTGTGGGCTCGGCTAGACCTGCACCTGCCTTGTCTGGGGGCGAGTCAGCCCGCGCGAGGGCTGTGCCAGGGCAGGACCCACGGCGCCCTGCCCGCCGCTGACCGGAGCGCACGGCTGGAGGCCCCTCTGTTGCCTCGCCCTGCCGCCTTTACCGCGACCCCCCACCAGCGGGCGCCAACCCCACGGCCGGCACCAATCCCCCCTACAGCCCCACGCCAAGCCCCACGGCCGGCGCCGACCCCCCACCAGCTTGCACCGAGCCCTCGAATACAGATGAGCTGGACGGATGGTCTGGGCAGGGGCCAGCCCGGCCAGCTCCGGTCCCCATGGCAACCTCTGAAGAGGCGGGAAACCACGTCCCTGGCAGCTCCCCCAGCCTCAGGCTCCTGTGGGCAGCTCTGTGGGGTGCAGGGCGGCGCACATGCCCCAGCACCGACGAGCCCCCCCGTCCTCAGCCGCTGCCACGGTCAGCTCTGAATCCCCGCCCGGGCTCCCCACGCAAGGTGGCCTGCAGAGCAGCGGGCCTGGCCCCGGTCTGTGGCCCCGGGAGCCGTGGAACCTCGGCCCAGACACATGGGCCCCCCACCAGGAGAAAGAAGGGGTTCACAGCTTTGGCAGAGGAAAGCAAACGAGCCAGCGTGCCCGTG